TTTACTCTTCTATTACTCACCATGCTCCAATGACAGAACAACGTCAAGCCGACTGGCTATGGGCAAAATGACCAAAGTGGCTACACCCAAGTCTGCACGCACCACACAACTACCAGTCGATGCCCACGCGCTAAGCAGTCCTCATACAATGGTGCATTTTATTTCATTGATAAGAGACATAATAAGGGTCACAGTAAATGAGACGCATTGCTCTCCGTCCGTCAATTCAGGTAGCGTCATGCTTACTCGTCATTCGGCATCTTTCCGACCCGTTGTTGTCGTTTACCTTTTGTCGATATTTTACGGCGTGTGTGTGCATGTGTGCCCTCGACGGGGCTCAAATGATTTCGCTTACCACTGGCGATTCTCAGTCAAACCAGCTGGAGTTAACACTGAGTGCGGTCGACGAGGTCATTTGGGCGTCCGTCTAACGTGTGACACGCACGCACGTGACCTCCGTTTACTTCTCACACTACTGCGCAGTCTGGTATGGGGAGGGGGGGCATTCCGCTGCCATCTTTTGTCAAGCTACACGTCTACTTATGATTTTGTTCATGTTTGCGCGTTTCGGTTTGTGTTTGGTATTATGGAGGGGGTTTTAAGGCTAAGGGTTAACCCTAAGGGCTGCAGTCTTCCAGGCCCGGTTCCCTAGTAGAAGGAGGAAGCCTTGGGAAGGCTAGATTGGTAGAAACAATGTATCATATAGTGTGGCGGAATTCAGAGTGATGTCTGGCTGCAGTTATTCGAGCGGCCACCGTTAGCTACCTTTGGCTCAGTCAGCTTTGACGGTAATTGGCCAGACCGCGACTTCAGATGTTAGTGGGTCACCGCGGACATTGAGCGAGGGGTGGACAGGCCGCGGGCAGTCATCGCGACTGCAGCCTTGGCGTGATGAGTCAGCGATCACGGGTTCCCACATTGACCGCTAGTGACCAATCCAATATAAAGTCAAAATAAGTAACCAGTTGCGTTTATTTATTGGTTTACGCACCAGCCACACATGTGTACATGTCCTCGGTTGATGATGTGCAGGTAGTTGCCCGTCTGGATTCCAATTATAGCGCAAATATCGAGGTTTTGCGGCAATAATGAGACTGTGCACTACCATAGGCTGTTTACGGAAGGCAGGGTGGAAACGGCGCAGTCTATTTGTACGCTGGGGGACGGAAACTTGTGTCTTTAAAATCTGTCGTTAACGTTTCTACAAAAATTTAAGTAGACCCGTTGAAGGAAGCCATTGAAACGTTCCAGACTGTTCAGGTCGCTACTCGTATCTAGCCGGTTTTGGTCCACTTTAAGTCGGTCCTGATTGAACTGTGGTATTCTCAGCTTCATGATGCTTAGTATCCATTTCCTGCACAAGCTGTCTTTTCGGAAGATTGATCTCACTGTATTGAAGCAATGCATTTTCTTCGCTACGACCGCGTTGGCAACAACTTTCCTCTGGCTCTCATATCAAACGCACAATAGCGTCGGAATAATAATAATCTCTGGACGGAACTTTGAAAGTTTTCTCTAATTATGGCGTGGTATAAAAAAGTACCGAGGAAATAAACAACTGTTTGAACATTCTGAAAGATACTACCGAGTTTTTGAACTGTTAACAATACCTTTCAGTCAGACGAAACTTTTGGAAGATATACGATTAGCATACTGAGAGGCAAGATTAGGCAAGCTATGATTAGATTTTAATAGGATCAGATTGTTGCCTAGTGGTAGCGTGGGAAAATGAGAAGCGTCCTGTCGTCATCTTCATGACCAAGGGCTTTGGAGATAAAAAAGACTGAGGATGGACATTTGGAGTGCACATCGACGTTGGCATAGTTCTTATTACCGTTTCCACTGGGGCGTGAATTTCCAAGGACCAGTCCAGAAATTTTGGTCGCACCTCAACCGAATCGATGATAGCCATGCAGAATAGGAGAGTGGGCTGTGTCCCTGAACAACCTAGTTATTTTTAGTGGGGCGATGTGCTGAGTGCATTTTGATAAACCAATATACCCACAATAACAGCCAACTTGGTGGAGGTGAGTAAGCTTCCTCTGTTGTTCCTTTGTTATTGAACCTTGAAGACCGAGCAGCGCCACTATCATATGTGATAGGTTTGCGTGCAATGCGGGTGCCGAAGACTTCCATGTTTTTGTTTCTGTTTTATACACGGTGACCTAGCGATGTTTTGTGTCGTCTATGTGCCCAGCGGCCTCTTTGCTGATGTCAGGCTCTTACACCAGAGACAGTTTTCCACGAAATTCATTGAGCACTCAGTGGTGTGAATGAACTGGAGAGCTAATCCTACGTGCTTTTGGGAAGACGTTTGCTGCGGGAGAACACAAAACTGTGGTGCAAGAGTGTCGGCTGTGGGCCCAACAAGCTAAAAGACGGATCCCTTTGCTGTTTTAACTGTAGCCAATATCAGAGGACTCTCTCCGACCGCGGACCTAATTGTTAAATCGGGCACTGACTGACGAAGATAACAAAGAACTTCAGCAACAATATTGAAGAAAGACAAGATTATCTTGGTTGTAATACAGTGTTCGGAACAATCCAGTCTTCATTTGTAGGGAATGTATTACTTATATTAAAGTGACTGCAACTGGATCAGATTTAATTCCTATGTGTAAGCGTAGCAGGGGATTAATAAATTTTACCACCGATAAACCACATATCTCAGACCAAAATATAATCACTCCCCTAAGATTAACCCCCAGACCACATTCTATCCTCTAATCACCACCACGCCGTTGTTGAATTCTGCTCAGAATGCCTCCCAGAACGGTACCAACAAAGTCAATAATGTTATCCCATATTAACGCCCACCTTCTCGAGCCGTAAATTTCATCTAAACACTGGATCGTTTAAGCATTAAATCTTGACCACATAACAATATTTTATTAAGGTGCGAATCATATCTATAGACGTAAATCTGCATTATATTACCTTATAATGTTACCACCGTACGCTGTCATTAAGGAAAAAGGTAAGACGGGCATATTTTCAGACGTATCATTTTTGGACTCGATAGCCACACATCAACTGAACTAAGGCAGGCCAAGGAAAACTCTATGGAGAGCGTACTATCGAAAGTGTCTAATGCACGGTCAGCAAAAAGGCAGAATTTTGCCAACGGCAAAAGTAGCTTATGTAGGCCCACTCATATACCCCTAGTCCCAGCATTTTGTCCTGCAAAAACGGTGGTTATAGATACTGTGGTGGGGAAATAACATAGGCAGAGAAGGAACTTATTAGAAATAAGTGTAAAAGAAAAAAAATGTAGTTGAAGTTGCTTCCTGCGGCCACTGGGAGAAAGTTGTTCTGCATGTAAATTGAAGGTGTGCACGGCGCTTCGCGCCGCGGACTATACTAATCCAACTGCAGAACGGTAAGTCCCTCAGGTCCCTCAGTAAGTTGAAGTAGACGACCTCCTAACCACCATTTCAATTTTTCGGGAAA